ATTTTTTTAGATTGAGTTGAATGAATTGCTGAATTTTTTTTTTGTATTTATATATAAATAAAATTAACTCTGTTGATTTTTTTTTGTATTTAATCGATAACAGCGAAGTTACGCATGTTAATGTTAGGGAAAAATATTTTGATGTTAAGCAAAACCTGCTCCATCTCGTTTTACATAAATGTTGAAAATTTGGTCGAAATTGATGCATTGTAACGAAAGTTTTTAGTGATGTCCACTTATGAAATTTGCATTTTATTAATATAGATATATATAGAGAGAGAAAATTTCCTTTTTGTTTATAAAGCCCTCTTTTTACAACAAACATTCAACAATCTGAATTATAACCAAATTTGTGTAAAGGTAGAGAGGTGATGTTTGATTTAACACAACTAATTTACGAATGGAAATTTTGCAAGGTGAATTTTGATCTATAAAATAAAGGTCCCATCTTGTCAAAATTTTCATCTATATTTTGGCCGTAGCTTTGGTCTAGCCACTTTACCAGGTTAACACCTCTTTAGAAAATTCTGAAGATTTCACTTGATCCCTTGTGGATTGCATGAAATAAAGCATACTCTGGACTGATGAGGGCCATTAGCCCAAACCATGGTCTCCAGGTGAGCATTTTTTTATTTACCAAAGCTGATGTTGTAGCTTTGTTACTGACCTGAGTCTGTTAGTTTGTGGAGACTGTCAATAGATGGTGCTATTTTGACAGGAGAGAGATTTTCTATAAATTCACACAAATGTTATTCTAACATATCCAGAATATTCATTAAAAGTTGTTGTGTGGTTGCAGAGTCCGGCCTACTGCTGTGGGAAGATAGATGAAGGGGATGAGATCATCCAAGTCAACTTCCAGACTGTGGTAAGTGTCTAACATTGACAACACACATTACACTCACGAACAAAACTTTAGGAAGTTGGACCTTTTAGCATGTATGTATATGTAATATAGTGTGAGGTCTGGTAGCCTCTTGTAGAATCCTGTCGACTCTCTGTAATAAGTTGAGGTCTGGTAGCCTCTTGTAGAATCCTGTCGACTTTGATGTGATAAAGAGTGTGCTGTCGACTTATCTGTGATGAGATCCTGTCGACTCTCGCTATAAGCTGTGGTAACCGGTGGTCAAACCTGTAATAGCCGAGAGGGACAGTCAGGGCGTGGAGAGTTTTCCAGTACCTCTCTGCACTTTGGAAGACCTTTAACAGTTTTCACAGAGTACAGGCAGTCGTGGTCGAGGCAGAGCGGAAAGCTTGGGAATGTCCACACACACAAAACGAAGAGACACAGCTGAAGTAGGAAAGTTCCATGAACAGATAGGAGTTGAGCTAAGCAAGATGGAGATATAGAGTTCTTACTGTTTTACATGGCGATGATGTGGACCTGGCTACAAGCGACAAGGGCTTGCGCCGACGGTGAAGAGACTAACTGCGGACTATCTTTTGTCGGCTAAAACCGAGGTGTTTATATACCATTCCCGAGGAGGGGGGGAGACATCTGCGAATTTGAACTTTGAACGTCTGGGGCATTCTGCACCCTTTGGACCAGATGGCAACGGGCTGCCAAATTCCTTTTCAGGGTTGTCTCGAATTTAGACGTTTTTGATGCTCAATCTTGCTTTAACTTAGCTCTTAATCTATTACATAGTTTTATTTATTTGTCTTTAATTTGTACAAAGTACATTACATATGGCGATGCAATATATTTGTGTTTCTATATACAACACGACAATCTTGTTATAAGTAGTTATACAATATAGGGTTGTTGGTTTAAATTACCATATATATATTTTTTATTATTATATTTTTTTATTTTTTTTTAAGGGGAAGGCCATTTGAACTTACCTAAATGGGAAATCCGCCATTATATAACAAATAAGGAGTGGTTTTGCCTTCATCAATTTTGCAGGGTGAATTTGGATCTATAAAATCTTGTCAAAATTTCCATCTATATTTTGGCCATAGCTTTGGTCTAGCCACTTTACCAGATAAACACCTCTTTTGGAAAATTCTGAAGATTTCATTTGATCCCTTTCAAGTTTTGTCCATGAGTGTATGTTCTCTTCTTCTCTCCTCTCAATCATATTAAAGAATCGAGCCTGTGAGCTTGAAATTTTTGATGGTGTTGCTGGAAACGAGTAGAGCTCATTAATGCATCAGATAATGCTGTCAATGATATCGTTTGGAGTTGCAGGTTAAGAATTGCACTTAGTACCTAGTGGGTAAACCTTGCAACCATTTCCAAAGATCATTGTAGATTGCCAGACTTAAGTCTGAAAATTAAGGACTGTTGTTCCCTTGGAACAATAATTAAAATATACAGCACTCAGGACCCAGATTTGTTATTGTTATAACCTGGTTGGTATTGTAAGAGAGCAGGGTTAAATATAATTAGAGCATAAAACTTGGGGCTTTAGAATTATAATGTTATAACTAAATTGCTGTAATAATGAAAGTTTATAATAATGAGATTCCACTTTACTCTTCCATTAATTTAACTGGCAATAATTCAACAGAAAAAACCTTTACCTGGAGTATTAAATCAAAGAGGTAGGACTTAATAAAAAAATAATAAAATATTTTATATTTAGTGGAATTTCATTAGTCTATTTTATTACAGCCATGTGGTTATAACATTATAATTCTAATTTATTTAACTATTGTTATAGCACCAACATGGTGTTATAACAACATTAAATGTTAGGTCAAGTGATGTTGGTATAGAGAAATTTTACTGTATGTATATTGTTACATCAACATTTTCCAACTTTGCCATCTTTTATAGTTTTCCAAACTAAAAAAATAATTTCTATAATTAAGCAAAAGTCTCATTATTTTTTTAATTAGGCACCATCACCACAACAATGACCGGCTCCTGATTGGAAAATGAATCTGTTGTTGCCTAGAGAGAATGCTAGACATGGGGTGGAATTCATTTGAAAACTAGAGTACAATTTCTATTAGGGATTTTGCAAGTTCCTAATAGAAAGGATTGTGACTTGTGAAAATTTTATTTAAAAAAGCTCAGAAACTATACAGTAGAACCTCCATGTAAAGGACACCTAATTGCAGAGCTAAAGTGTACTTTAGGGAGAGGTGTCTTCTTACCGGAGAGTTGCTAAATTGTAAAAATGATAATTTTGCAAATGAAAACTGTCCTTTTTAGACAGGTGTCCTCTAGCGCGAGTGTCCTCTCATGGAGGTTGTACTGTAAATACACAACAAGGTTAGATATTTATGTCTGGTATGTGTGGTGTACCTAGCCAAGAGGAAACTAACTGTGGTGTGACAACAGGTGGGCTGGCAGCTGAAGAACCTGGTGTGTGCCACCAAAGAACACCCCACAGAGATCCATCTCACCCTCAAGAAGCGGCCCAGACATCCCTCCGCCCTGGAGGAGATCAGGACAGGCTGGCCCCACAGACTTCCTTCAAAGAGAACAGCCTTGCGCAGGTTGCGCAAGTCCTCTCTCGGGCAGACAGTTGTTCCTATTCTGGAGGGTCCATTGAGGTAATCCATTGCTGGATAATTTAGAACTCTATGTTATCATGGGGATAACTCTATTTGGAACTCACTAAGAAATATAAAATTACTTTCAATTTATTTATTTTTTCTAAATGTAAATCTGTGAGTGAGATATAAAATATTTGAACACTTTTTCTGCTGGAGATGCTAGCACATGTTATACCTTGGCCAATTCTAGTTCAATAGTGAACTTGGCCCACAATCAATACAGTTTTTCCAATAAATAAATAAAAAATTCTACAAAAAATCAAAGTTAGTCATTTATAATGAAGCATTTAACTACAAACAAATTGTATAATGATGATTTTTTTAAATGTATATTGATTAACAATTAAAAAAAGAATAAATATTGTATTTTATTAATGAAGTGGGGCAAACAACATCAAAATATACAATGGAATCTTTTTATAACCACTACTTTATAGCAGCAACATGGTTATAACATCCTAATTTTAAAGTTCCACTTGTTTTAGCCATGGTTATACATCATGGTCGCATGTGATGTTATAATGTATTTAGAGTTAATGTGGGGATAGGGCCTACATAGAAAACTATCAGTGAATTAATGAAAAGTTTGCATTCTCAAGATACATAATAGAGAGAGCTATTAGTTAGATAAAAGAACCATAGAAATATGATTAATGAGTTATCTAAGAAATTGTTTGTTAGACTCTTGTAAATGGTACATCCTTCCTAGAATAGCCTCATGGCCTACCAGTGGCACTCCGCAGTACATTGGTAGAGTAGATCCTAGCTGAAGAGGTCAACATCAACCAGATCAGTGACTGTTGGCTCCATGTGTCCAACTCACTGTGTTGTTCCAGGGAGGACGAAGGAGAGGATGAAGATGAGGAAGAAGAGGAGGAGGACTGTGTGTTCCTGCCCACCGTGGTGCCACAGCAGCCAATGCAGCACCGTGGTGGACCACGCCGTGCCACCATCAGCACCTCAGCCCAACTGCCATCTCTGGAGCAGATCATGGCTGAGTCCCTCTCCCATAAAGAACAGCTCATCCGATGCAGTCAGTCCTCTGCCCCCACCTCTGAGTCTTCCTCCATCTATGCTCGGCTATCCGATGCCCAGCAGCTCTCCCCCAATCCTGACATGGCTCGTGGTGAGTTCACCAAGTCTTCTAACATTAATTTGGGACCATTGATTTGGTTACTATCAAGCCTGAAAAATGAATGCCTCCAGTGCAAAAACACAGAATTCTCATTCTAACAGCCTTCTTTTATAACAGGGCTCTAGTTATAATATCATAATTTTAGGGTCTTAGGTTTTAAATCCTTATTATTTTAAGTGATTATAACAAAGACATGGGGGGTTATAACAACCTAAAATTTGGATCAAGAGTTATGTTCTTATAGTGTGTGAGGTTTGACTTTATATTGTTCCCAATTGAGAAATGTCAACATTCATGCCTAAAATGAAGAAAACACTAGTTAAATCCCATGCTAGAGCCAAACTAATGCAATAGTCTTCTTAAATATAAGATTTGAACTTGTGATTTCCTGTTTACTAGACAGGCACTTTAACTAACTAAGCCATAGTGCCACACTCAAAATTAAGAGATTTATGTAATATCTTCAAAATTTAATTGATTTGGTCATCTCTCCATTTGAAATCAACACTTTGTTAAACTCTCATTAAAACAAAGATTTTGGAAAATTATACACAGATGATTGTTATATTCTTAACAGGTTTCCAAGACAATGACTTTTCTTTTAAGGGTTCTTTCTCTCAGTTTGGATCAGTAAAACTTACTCCTCTATATTGATAATTTAGCCCTAGCCTATCCAAATCAATAACATGTTGGTCTGTTTGTAACAGAAGCCGGGGCTATGAAAGAGGTTCAAGGTGAAATAAAGAAGCCCCCCACCCCTAAGCCACGGACCTTGAAAAGTCCAACGGTCAAGTCCAGCTCTCAAGACACACAGTCTCAAGAAATAAGTTCGCAGGAACCCAAGATGGCTCACATCCGGTCTCTGAGCTGTGGTAACATCCTGGCAGAGCTGGAGTCCATCCCTGTCTCAGCTAACTCCACCCACTCCCCTCCCAGCTATAGGATCAGCTACCCCCCAGTGATGCACCACACAACAGATGGGGCAGCCTCCCTTGACAGGCGGAAGAACAGACAGGCCCAGCAGCTACAACAACAACAACAGCAGGAAGCGGGTGGACAAGTCAGCAAGTTGTCCCAGGTCTTCAACCAGCTCAGCATGACCAATGGCCAGCGACCAGTGCCCCGACCACGGTGCACCAAGCAGCAGAGTGCCCCTCAACTCAAACCCTGCCTCAAGCCCTCCCCACCCCGGCCTCTACAGCAGCCCCAACGGCCGTGGAGACAGATGGCCAATGGAGATGGCAGGCCAGACATGCCTCCTTCAATGCCTCCCATGGCCTTCCGACCTCTACTAAGGCCGGTCCAACCCCCACCGCCGGCAATGAAGTCTGCCACAACGGAACAGATCCAGCACATCTACACCACCAAAGCTGAGTCCTTCCGCCCCACTCCCCCATACACTAATGGAAACCTCCACTGCAATGGTGGCCTGGTGCAGCCCACCTATGTCCTCCATCCCAACAACAACCATCACGGAGCTTTCCGTTCCTACACCAACGGGGAGAGTAATCCTCCCCCCAAGATCATGCCTCAGCCTACACCCAAACAGCCCGTGGTGATTCCTCCAGATTCCTTCTTCAACATGTATCACCATCCACGGGGACTGAAGCTGAGTGTGATCCCGTCACGTGCGGAGCCACTACGGTTCAGCAGCAGTGACAGCAGCAGTCTGAGCAGCAGTAGCAGCCTGGACTCCTCGGCCAGCAGCTGCTATTACTACGTGGAGCCCAACGCCCGGCCCCAGCTCTCCTTCAGCAGGGAGGAGCCCCCCACCATGGGCATCTCCATGCTCTCCAAGAGGAAACCCTCCTCCTCCCCAGAGTCTGATTGCCACTCGTCACCCACCAAGGTCCCAGACTTTGTCGATGACCTGGAGGGATTCTGTGTCTGAGACTATGTACAGTTTTCTCTTTATTTGTTATTATATCCTCTACTAATGATGACAAAGAAACCAACTCAGCTAGATAGCTCAGAGAATATCTCATTTTGTAATTTATATATTTATTTTTATATGGGATTCTTCTTCCTCTCTCTAGTACTCTCAATGCCTCTAGTAGCCCAAACTTGAGATCTTTAAGGTCTGCATTTATTATTATCATTATTTTAATTCTAGAATTTTGAGCCAATCTTTTAAGAATATACATTATGAGAAGGATAACAAGCCCAGTTTTAAATTAGTTTAAAGTAAAGTTTTGCTCTTTTAGCCAACAAGCATATCTTTCTCCAACTCCTTTTCTCTATTCAAATGATTTCAATAATTCATTCAAACTACTCTTTGAAAATCTTTTTTCTAATAATCATCCAGATTAGTTTAGGTGTGTCTTTTACATTCCAACATGTGTTTCTTTGACAATTAACTAGTTCACAAGTTTCTGGTATAAACATTTTCTTCCTTGTACATGAGTGTTACTTGTATCAAATGATGTTGGCCACCTTATGTTCATAGTTCATCCTTTTATAACACAATCCTTCTTCTTCTTCTTCTTTCTTATCTCCACTCAATCACACTAAGGTATCAAGCTTGTAAAGCTTGAGATTTTTGATGGTGTCTGCCGGGGAAGAGTAGAGCTCATCAATGGATGAGTCAATACAGTCAATAATATGTCTTGGGGTTGCAGGCTGAGAATTGCACTTAGTACACAGTGGGAAAACCTTATATACTTTACCCAATCATAACAATCCTATACTTACACTAGCCTTGACAAATGGTATAACCATATTCCCATGGGACCAGGCTGTATTAGCCAGTGTTATTGCTATAGAACTTGACCATGTGCCTTATATCTACTTTTATACCTAGTAGATGTTTATTTTTCTTAGTAATCCCCTTTGCTCATTGAAAAGTGACTGTTTAGCTTCTAGAGGACTTTCTATAATCTTTTTTTTTTTTATGTCTAAGTAAATTATTGAATTTTGAAATTTTATTATTTTGGAAATTTATTAGAATTTTATTCCTACAGGTGATGGCACAAGCCATCAGCAACTTTCAGTTGCACAATAAGGAGATATCTCTTTCTTAATTTATCCACCTCAGTACAATTTGTACTTTTTTTTCCTTCACATTATTGATTTTTGTTTCACAGTATATTTTAATAAGAGCTGATGTGTAGTTCCTATTGAGAGAGATGAAATGGTTGTTAAAACTTGATTTTATAACACATGTGTGTTTTAGAATTTGTTCTCTCTCTCTGTCAACAATGTTAAATGGTCTTTCCAGAGATAGTTTATTAGGGTTTATAAAATAAAAGACTTGAATATATATTTATACAAATGATTATATTTACAAAACAAAAATCTAGAACAATAAATCTTCGACAGTTTAATTCCGCTCCCTGAACTATATTTCTATTTCCAAATGTTTTTCTTCCCCCCCCTCTTGTGTATATTTTACAATAGACTATAAAGAATTGTTTTAGAGAAATAAACTAGTAAACCCATTGCTATACAGAGAATCAGTTACAGGTTAGTTTAGGATATATTAATGAACAGTTGTCAACCTTGTGTCATCAGATTCTACTAAACATTTCTAAATCCACTATCCACTAAATTTAAAGATAAATTTAAAAATGGATTGCTGAAACGTTGATTAGTAAAATCTTTGCCTGACAAAGTTGACAAGTGTTCATCAATATAACATTGCTACAGTTCTATAACATGTTTGTAGATTTCTTCTTGTTATATTCTCCTTCTGTATATGTACATTTTTATTTAGGATAGTGTACCATAGCATCTCTGTTGAGAGGCCCTTTCTGAAACACCTCTAATGGCAGTAGAAAAACCTCCACAAGAGGACACCTCTCTACAAAGGACAGTTTTAATCTCCAAAATTAGCATTTTTACTATTTAGCAATTCTCTGGTAAAAGGATACCTCTCTCTAAAGGACACTTGTGATCTGCAACGAGGTGTATTGTCCTTTACAGAGATGTTTTACTATCCATCGATTTTCTAATTTTATCTTTTATTGAAAATTACTCTTACAGAAAGACATTGTACCAAAGCCTGCAAAGGTAGGTTTCATTTAAAAAGGAGTAAAAATTGTGTTGATATAAAATTTAATATAGAAATGGTTAAATCTCATTCATAACATTCTCTTTTGAAACAGCAACTTGGTTATAACATCACAAATCCCAAGTTTTAAGTATCATTTGTTTAATCTGTGAGGTAATAACAGAATGGATATACCAACCAGAATTCTTGTTCCCAAATAATGTTGTTATAGCAAAATTTGACTGTATTCCTGGTGTTTTAATATACTCTCATATTACTGCCTCTATATATTTTTATTTAGTACTCTTCTCTTTTTAATTGGCTACCATTTAACTTAAGAGAAATGCTAGCATCCATCCCATTGGATAACAAATATTTTTTAAAAATCACTCTTTTACTCTACTCCCACAATCTGCCAAATTATAATTTTTTAAACAAAATTTCCGTGCAATGTTACCATATCTAGATGTTAGAAACTATATATTTGTGGAAATATAGATTTAAAACAATTAAAATATCCTTTTGCTCTCAGATATTTGTGATAAAAAGAAAGTAATTTTCTAATATATATTGTTGTGTATGTGTTTGTTAATATCCCTTTATAAATTTCAGAAGTATTTATTTGATGGTATTTTTTATACATAACAACCAACTAATTCTTCATGTGTAAGAAGTATATAAAGATTGTGTATTATATTAGTATTGGCTTTTTTATATCTAAGTATATATATATATATATGTAGTACCTTTTTAGTGTACTATACGCATTGCTCAATTCTTCTGTGCCTTCTTGCTATATGAAGAGTTTATATCTTCCTTTATTGTAACATTTTTTTATTTATCAAAATATACTTTTTGTATAGATATATATAAATGTATTGTATTTTGTATGTGACTTTATATATATAAAATAATATACATATTAAAACAAATATATTTCAATTATAAATATTTGAAGTTATATATTAAATTTTTTGTAGATTTTGTATATAATATATATATATATATGTATAGGACCTTTTTTTATATAAATTGAATTGTAAATGTTTTTTTTATAAATAAATTTGTGAAAACTTGTGTTGAAAATATTTTGTTTTTATGAATTTTGCATTTAAAAAGAATATCAAAGCTGGGCTAGTTTAACAATGCAGGTTGTGTAAGGAGGATATATTTCCCCCAGTGTAAACAGTGGAAATATATCTCCCTGTTTACTACAGAATACACACAAAGAACCAACATTAGAGATATATCTCCATGCTTTCATTATTTATTTCAAAATACCCAAGGAACCAACAATGGAAATATGCCTCCAGGCTCTAATTGTTTACCTCAGAATACCCAAGGAGCCAATAATGGAAATATATCTCCATGCTCCAATTGTTTACTTCAGAATATCCAAGGAACCAACAATGGAAATATATCTCCATGCTCTAATTGTTTTTT